TTCAATTTTGCGTGTTTACCTAAGCATTAGTTATTCTATCAATATTTTTTATAGCCGAGAAAAACTGATGATCTAAGACTGTGTGATCTCCCCGTATTCGTACACCGATCGCTGTGGTGAAAAAGCGAATAGTATTTTTTAATCATAAGATGCTGTGACGAATAATCGTCGTTTCTTGCACGTGCACAGTGTAGCCGTTAGGCAAAGCGATTGTCCCCAACGCGGCGACCATAATCGCTGTCCCTAGGTGGTCATACCACTCGATTTCATAACGGGTCTCCCAAGAGTCCCATCCTCTGGCTGATATTCCCCTCATCAGTCCGTTAATCGTCGATCTTAGGACCCTCCGTAATTTAATTTTAGCCACGTGCACTAATCACAAAAACTATTTCCGTTACAATGTCAATGTCTACGGTTCCGGCAGTCGACTTTTGTATGACTTTTGCATCTCTCGTCACTAATGCATCTTTCGGGCCAGCCGACTGTGGCCACGTTTATGATCTGCAGGACTAGAAAGTTTAATTTTCCAACATTTCGACTAAAGTCGAAAATTAAACTTTCGGCGCAGGAATGAAACGAATGTATTATAAAATGCGTTTGTGGTGGAAATGTTAAACTGTAAGAATGATTTAGAGGCTATACCCAAAGGCATTTCCATTTTTTTTTTTTTTAGTTATCCCCGCGAGATGTTATAACATTATTATATACATGCTACGATATTTACATCTGACATGAGATAGTGTGTTTTTGGCCTATAGCTTTATCCTATTTGGTATAAATCACGTACACCGTACAATGTTCATGTAAGATAATATAGGTATATTGTTACATGATGGAAACTTACGAATAATATCGATGAGTAATATTCTCACGTTTTAAAGAAATATTTAAACGAATGTAGAGTCTACATTGTAGACGTGTGTAAAATGGTACCCAATAAGATTTTTCAAGGAAATTTTAAATTTAAAACAAAATATGTTTTAAATTAATATTGTAAAATATATTTTTGTAGAAAACAAAAACTTGGAGCATTATGATTTAGATAATCTAATAATAAGTCAGTCATATAAAGGCACCTGTATAAATTAAAAAATGATTTATGATTCACATTTGAATAAAAATGTATAAACATTTTTAACCATGGAAATATTCGTTAAATGTAGGCAGTCCTTAATCCATACAAAATAATAAGACAAATTGATATTTCTTTTAAAACTTTGTAACTAACTCGGACATTCCGTATAATATTATTGTTTAGACAGTGCACATATAAAATTGCCGTTTCCGTTTCTTGAGTATAGTAAAATTCAAATTTTATGCAGTATCATTCCTATTTATTGTACGTGTCAGTGTGTTCTAGAGTTATCTACCTACAGTTAATTTAAACACAGTTTGAATGATAAAATTGCTTTTAAATAAATCACGAAATAATAACTGTTTAATTGAATTTTACTTAGATCTGTATATCTATACATGTTGTAAACGATAAAAATTCGTTTTAATATAAGACTAAACGTAATAAATGTAAACAGTAAACGTATGTACTGTTAAATCAGATTTTGTCCATCCGACCATAGCAATAACATACGCGATAGCCTGTAATAGATAGAATAAACATAAAAGATTTGAAATGATTAAATCGCCGCTATTTATAGGCTCATACCCCTAAGGACACCGTTTATGGGCAACGATGCGACGACGGCGATGATAAGGTTGGCGATGACGAAGCATTTATATTTCACGTCGAATTCAGTCCCACATCAGTTTTTCTCTCTTTCTCGTTTTAATCCCTTAAACGGCTGCTGTATCAGTGGTTTGGCCACCGTCCAGACAACGACAGATATTATTATAATATACACGCTGCAGGATAGTGCAAGGACGGTGGTGGTTAAGTTACACGGCAAAGCTTCCTGAAATAAAGCTAATCGTACGCACAGGACGCGTCGCACGGTCTGCTAGCAGGATAATCCTGCAGGAGTTGACCGATAAACCAAAAATCTCTCCTCTCATTACAATGGCGGTTGCGGTAGTCGTTCATCAATTTTACGTGTATTAATCGAAACGATACGTTTATTGTCACTCCAACGGGGCGCACATAACATATTACAGTGTGCGTATAATAGAATGCGCGTCTCTCCTGCTACCTACACAACTCTCTTTAATTTACGACTCGTAATATATACTTGCTATAATTTATTTAATATAATATTCTCGCATCGACGACAGAGATGGTTACGGTGGTGAAAACTATTTTATGCTGATAGTGTATAAGTAATTTACGATGAAAGATGATAATATTATCATAATAATGTGTCGTTATCAAAAATACGTATAGAACTATAAACTATCAATACAATTATCTGACATTTTTACGGTAAATCCAGCAAGGAGTCACTATAATTTATTCGTTAGATCATATATAACCAACACAAAAGTCACCTTCATTGTACAGAGTATGGTCGTAGTCTGAAAACGTATGCACTATACTAGAGGTTCTCAAACTATTCACGATACTTATAAGCGACTCGTTTCGAAAAAAATTGAAATTCGAATGACACACCAAACACCAAAACAATTTTTTATTTTTTTTTTTTTGCGCTCACGAATAAAAAACTTCAATTTTAATAAATTCATACATACAATAATATACTTTACGGTAATAACGTACTTTATTATATTCAACTATTCAGTTATAGCCTAAAGGTAATAGTGTAAGTATTTCTTTTATTAAAATAAAAACCAGTTTTAAACCCTAAAAAAATGAAATAAAATATTGAATGTTATATTAACATAACTACATATATGTTATAGTTGACATAGTAATTACAAAAATACTTCGTAGTCAAAGTTAAAAAGTATTATTTATTCAATGAAAAATAGTTTTTTGCTTGTTTATTATCAATTTAATTATTATGTATAGTATTTATACTTGTTTTTATTTTAGATTCCAAATTATTATTAAATGTATTTCACTATATGATGTATAATGTATATTTTCGTATTTGATATTATTATGCAAAGATTAAACACATATTAAGTTATATCGAGTGTATTAAAATGTGATTATTATTATAATAATATTGTATTATAATGCTATATAGGTACACAGATTTTGGTTACCAATATATTTTTGGCTGATTTTCAGATTCTACTGGTTACATAATTGAATTTGAATTTGCTATTTTTTATTTTATTTTATTTTATTTTTTTTATTTGCTAACTTAAACTGATTTATGAAAAAAAAAAATAAACATAAAAAGTTAAATGAAATTAATTTAAAAATTTAAAATTGAATACTTTTTGAAAGTTCCAATAATTAGTTTTGGATAAACTACTCTGACTGCTTGAATTGTGTTGTTAAGAATTTAAATAATTATTGTCTTTATAATGCACGTACATGTTGTATAATACGTATCCTAGGTACTCTTGATGAAACGAGATGACAAATTAATTCAGAATTGTTCATCAGAAATTTGTTTTCATTACCTAAATATTTTAATGCGTTCATGGACTATTAATTATTTAGAATTAAATATTATACATATAGTGTTTTGGAATGATCATCCATTAATTATTTCTTATTTTATAATTAAACCATACTAAAATAATATTTTTCATTTATTATTTTTATGTTTGAATATTAAGATTTTTTTGTAATTAAGATAGTTTTTTAAATAATAAAACTTTTATGCATGTAGACTAATAGTACACATACTTTAGATAATCTAGTTAAATTAAAATATGTAAAGTTTTCAGGATTTTAAAAGTTCTTTATTCCCGTCTATCAGACCATTTCTCTGTCCTCCACTAAAACATGTAAGACGTAACGTCGCCACCTTTTATTGTTCTGAGTCGTATTAATTTTTTCACACTATCGAGCAAATACAATAAACCCAAAAGAAATCTGCCACTACTCGAAATTAATAGCTGTCAGCAGCGACGATGGTGGAAAATAATATTAAATTTAATATAGTACTTGCCCATTGGAAACAGAACACAAACGGACCAAATATAATTGCGTTTTATACGTAAACATAACAAAATAAATAATATTTCGTGTGTCAGCGGCGATTATTCAAATATATATAAATACATTTACTTACTTGAACGTTTATGATAAATACGTTAAGTAAAACCGTGATATTTTGATCATCGAATTGTATTGCAGTTTTAAAACTAACGATTTATGTTGAAACATCTATAAATTGGACAATTCAAATGTCTGTAACGTTAAAGATATTTAATCGACACAGACTCTTCCGAAATAATCAATATTTGTCTAACGTATATATCATATGGATAGGCATGTCCTATAATAAATATTCCTTAACAATCAGTACATTTTTGAGTCAAATAAATACACAAAAAAAGTTTAGACATTTATTCAAATTATTTTTTCAGTAACTTTACTTAGTTACGCTTTTTTTTTTTTGTGAACAAATAGCACATGACTTAACTTAGTTTCCCCGAATTCAGTATAATACATTTTAAAAGATATAAATTTAACTTATTTAGAATGCCAATAAGTATTTACAAAACTTATTTCATAACAAAAAATTGAATAATGTATATTATTTATTTTGTTTATTTTCTATACACTTTTATAATACACTAAAAGTTCAAATAATCAAAATGGTTATTATAATTTATAAAGAGTTTAAACTTTATTTAAGATAGTATAATACTATAATATATAAAATATGTACACATTACAACTAAAATTTTGACGGTTTTTCATTATATATATATAAAGTCTTATAATTGATCGATAAATATACAATTTTGTTTATTACGAGTATACCAAATATATGCATTGTTTTCTATTATTTAAATAAGATTTATTTTGTCAATAAATTAAATAATTTATAAATTATCTTTTGCTCTGAAAAAAATTTTGACATTTTAATAACTAAAATTATTAATCTAAATATACTATATAAAAGGATCATTTTAAAATGTGTAATATTTTATTTTATTTGTTTTTTTTTTTTTTTTTGAAGATCAATGACGGTCAAGACACAATTATTCTGGACCGCTTACAAGATACTTCGTTCCAATATACATCTGCTTCACCATCAGTCATTTCAGGAAATGCATTCACTACCCCGTCAAAAATCTCCAACTCAATCAACAAATTGAATTTAACACAGTCACACGTGAGTAAAATAAACTTTCAATGTACAAATAAATCATTTTAATTTTTTAAAAAATTAAAACATCCACCTGCACAAATGATTGTTTTTTTGAACTTTTTACTTGTTTTTTTTATGAAAAAAGAACAAAAAGTTATCCTTATATCAATAATGTTTCAATAATATAACTAGCATTATATTAATATTATAATATTAACCAAAAATAATGTGTATCACATAGAAATGTAAAATGTTATCACTACTATATTAATTAAAAATATTCAATGATGGAATAAAATTATGGTTTCCAAATAGTGTTAGTTATTTTAAGGTTAATTGTTCTCTCGTTATATTTTTACTATTTACACAACGACGAAAAATTCCTTCACTAAGTTGTGATGCAACTTATGAAATTATTTTGTCTAGAAAAAATATGTAGGGTTTTATTTCTTTGGAGTTTGTATGGTGGATATTTAATTTACCAATCTACTCAATAATAAATATTATTATTATACAATTATTCTTTAATTTAAATATGTATATCAAACGAAATAATCACTTCTTACTATGGTAACTATATAAAGTTAAACTTATTTTCGTCACATAAACACAAAAATATGTTACTATAATAAAATAATATTTACATTGTAAAAATTACGAATATAAATTTGTATAAAGACTAAAATTATACTTAAATCATTAAAAATTATTTTATTTTCGACAATGCGCGATGGGAAACGACTAAGGGTACTAAAATTATGCTTTAAAAATCATTTATGGCAGGGAAAGTTATCTAAAACTTTTTACGAAATGTACGCATTTATTAAAATAATAAATAAATCATTATATTTTTAGTGTGTATAAAAACGACAAACAGCCATATTATTTTTTTGAAAAATGTTGAAAAAAAACTTAAACGATTACACCAAAAATTAATTTTTATTGGTATGATGAAAAAAACTAAAAATCACATCTAAGTTATTATTGTATACTACATCAAAAAATACCTTTCTAAAAACCAACTAAAACAATATTATAATGTTACATAACAAATTGTTAACTTTTAAAAACTATAGGATATAGCCTAGTCAGTTATATAATATAATATGCTAATAAAGTTGTAACTTGAAAGTCATAATCATATAAGTAGTTTCAAAATTGCATACTAAAGCGCTGTGATATGCTATTAATATATTTACATATTTTATATTTATATGATATTTTCTGAACATGCAGATCTGTTTAAAGATTAATTACATTACCTATTCAAACGTGACGAGAAAAGAAACATTTTTATATTATTATGAAATTAATTAATTTGAAACAATTTTCTTTATTTAAAATAAAAAATGATTTATTTTTTTATTATAATCATTTTCCAATTTCAACAATATAAACTCAATAAATTTAATTTTATGTTCACTTAATCTACAAACAGCTTAACTTAGTTCAGAACTGCATTACATAAATAAATCGTTTACTGCGCACATTATAATCGAAAAAAGCGCTTTCATCGTATTCTATCAAAGCCAAATCAATTATTTTGTTAATCTATAAATTCATATTATGATAAAACGTGTATAAATTTGGTACTAAATTTTTTCCGTTTAAATTAAATCAAATTTTTAATATCAAAGGTAAAATCATTTCTACTATATTTTTTAATATTTTACCCTCGTGTTGGAAAAAACAATGATTTTTTTTTTTTATAAAAAAAAAAAGTAAAAGTATTAAAACCATAATTAAATATTAAAGAATTTATTGATACCATTCCCTATTATGATAATTCAAATTAACATTACATAATATTAAGCAACTTGCTTTGATTAAATATATTATCCATAAAACTGAAAATAAATTATACATTATTCTTTCAATTTGATCAAATTTAATTTTTAAATAAATGCATGTAAACATGTCAATATTCAAATTTAACTTACGCTGCGTTCGTAAAGAAATAAACGCCGCTACAATTATATTATAATATAATTTTTGAATATGTTTTGAATCGTATTTTGATGGAAATAGAAATTAATTTAGGTCTGTCAATGGTAAGTGAATGTTTATTTATTTATTTATTATATTTAATCTAAGTTATGTGATTAACTCACAGGTCATTAAATAACAGTTTAGTCGTCATATTAAATTTAATAAAAATTGTAATAATTAATTCATATTTAGTATATTTTATGATATTACATTATTATTAGTATTATTATTATTATTTCATATGGTATGTTATTACATGCAAATGCGGTTGTATCATTATACTACTCGTATATTATATCAATTAAATTATGATTTGTTTTTGCTCACTACCCTAAATATTTATACAATTGTAACAATATAGCCTCATCAATAGTATTATATTAATATTGCTTAACTAGATCCTCATTAATAATATACCATTAAAATATTGTTTCATTTATACCACTGCTATCTTCTATTTAAAATTCATTACAGTTTGTAGCTAAGTATTATGTATGAATACATTTTAATTTCTTGCCAATTTATAAATTTTTAGTCATAATTTAAGTCACAATATTTATTACTTAAATAGTGTCTTTATTCTTAAATTTCATCCACCTCATGATAAACCAATTTTATACTTGGTATTATAATACTCAATATGTGACATAACAACTACGAATAAAAACACTGTGTAACTTAACTCTACTTTTGATTATAAATACTACGTGATATTATAAATAGTATTAATAAATAACCTCAATCACTTATTAATATTAGTTAAATTGCATTGCTTATTTATAATAACGAGATATTTTCTCGTTCCTTTGATAATTTCTGTTATGTAATAGGTATAGATCTTAAAATATGATGATAGATGTTCACGTACAACACCAATGATATTAGAATGGAATATAATATTGCCATTTAATTTAAAACATTGTGTATATATTAATAAATAGTTTATCACGATAAATAAATTTGAACAAAACTATATAAATACCATGATATATTTAAATAATCTATTTATTAAACACCTAAAGTTATCAGTGTATTTATGTACATTGATTTTTAATAGAAATAAAAAATGCAAAATATAATTTCCTTTTCATTGGTATAATAAAATATAGTTTATTAATAAATAGAACGTTTTATCGCATTATCCTTACAAGTTTTGGTTTATAAATCATTTATAAATATACCCCCCTTTCTCTGAACAATAGTAAATTCTGAATTGTATTGTATATCAATACACCGATTAGGCAACTAGAAAAATAAAATAAAATTAAGCTTTACTATTAACCAGCTTTATAAAATATAGTTAATTATTGTTACGTGGTATTTTTGTATTATCGTTCTATTTAATTCTTATTTATTTAATTAATATTAACTCAGTAAAAGATAAAATTACAAATCATAATAACTACAAAATTATAATTTAATATTGAGTACACAAAATTAATTAAAAACATACACAATTTTATTTTTGGTCCAGAACATGCATTATAAAAAAAATAAAATATTTTATCAATACTTTGTATTGCGTTATAGAGCAAAAATAAATATTTTTCCTTGAGAATCATTATAAATGCACAAAAATCGTTAAATGCGTAGGTACCCTCTATACTTTAAAAAAATTATCTTAATCCTTACAGATGTGGAGAACACACTAGAATTATGAAAAAAATCAAATTAGTATCTAGGCATCATGCTTGGAATAAAATTTTAATAATACGAGACCTGCATCAACAAATGGTAAAATACTCATTGCATACCTATTATAAGCTCGGTATAGTATAATAATAGGCATACAATATAAATCCTAATTTTTTATTCATATGAATTCGTTGAATTTTAATTTAATATTAAATAAATCTGTGCAGTATAAATCTTATTTGAACGTGAATCGGCGAAAAGTGTGATGCTGTGTTAAACCATCTAAGCTAAAAACTTTTGAATCCATTGCTTACACTTTTATTACACACCTGGTACGATACTGATGGCTGGCTACATAAAAACTAAAAGATAAAAACGGACAGACTTTGATAATAATATTATTTTAGCGTAAGACATTCATAAATGTAGTAAGTAGTAATTATGTATATTTTTATATTTTTTGAAAAATATACAGCAAAATTATTTTAACTTATTTATTTTAAAAAAAAATTGATAATTTACATTTTTTTTGTTTGCTTCAAAAAATAATAACTGAAATAAATAATGAAGAATTACAAAAATTAAAATTTTATAAAATATACCTTCAAAAAAATTGTGTGCAATTTTATAAACTTGTAACTTATTTCACATTTTCTGTACAAAAATATTAAAAAACGATATAAAAAAATGTAAATTTGTATTAAAAAAAATCACTCAGTGTAGTATTTTAACCCTTTTTAACCAACTTTTTTTTTATAGTATTGTAGCTATATTATCTAATTTCGCTTGGGTTAAAACTAATCTATCTTTCTATACTATCACATAATGCTTCAGTTGAAATATATAACACAAACAAAGTTACGATAATTATTAGTTAGGTTATTCTCTACTTCTTTATTCTGAATATATTTTTAATATAAACTAAAAAAAATTTTAATTTAATTAAATTTAACGAATGTTTAAAAATCGAATAATCCAACAACGTCAATATTGTATTTTTCATCTTTGTGTGCTTAAGAAAAAAACATGTAAAGTATTAAGAAAATAAATCCTAAAAATAACCGTTATAATTGAGTTCAAAAGTATTTTATTACAAGATTCTTTTTTTTTTTTTTTAATATTTATAAAAAAATATATGTAATATGTTTCTACATATATAACAATATATAATCAATAACCAACGGAAGCCATATAATTAAACAAAAAAATATTTGATTTTCGAGTTTTCGTGAACCAAACTAAATTCACGTGGACCCAATATCGTGGACCCAATATCGTCCTATAGAGAATAAACAAAATAAGCTACAAACTCCTTCTTAGAGCTCAAGGAATTTATTGATATCATTTTTATTGAAAACGGTCTATATTATTTCTTTTGAAATATATATGTTTATTACTAT